AACCCATCTGAGGGACGTCGTCGTTTCGACCACGCCCAAGCGAATCCACTCCAAGATGACCTGACAGCGCAGGGAAAGAAGCCTGCCTTGCCAGCCCCGAACCACCAGCAGGGGGAGGGGCCACCCAACGCCACCGGAGGCCGTGCGAAACAACCCGAAACGCCCACAAATCATGGGACCAGGCATGAGCGAACAGCGCAAGCCTCCCCCCCATCACCCCGTCAATGGGGCGAACTGCTAAAGGGCCAGTGCCCCTTACAAGACCCCGAACCTCGCACAGAGGGAACACCACGCCGACCAGACGAAGGCGGGTCCAAAGGAGGCGCCAAACCTGAACCTGACACCAGTGGCCTACCACGACGAGAGGAACCCCAACCGAACAACCCTCAAACTCGCATGAAGCGAGGGGGGTACCCCGGGGTCACAGCCATCGGACCCATGCATCCCCTAGGGGATTCCCAGGGTCCGATGGGTAAAAATCTTTGTTTCTATCTTCATTCAACCGTTTTGGTTGTTCCAGATTCTATTTTACCCATTCCCTGTCTTCCTTTGATCGGTCTCTTCTTAGAGCATTTATCCTTAATTATTTTATTTTTCTTATATTTGAGTGGTGCTGCTTTATTTTGACCTATTAAGAGTCACACTTTAGAAGCAATTCTTCCCATTCCTACACTTACAAACTTCTCTGTAGTTGAAAATAATTACTCCTAAAGGCCTTTTCTGCCTTTATAAATATTTCTATCCTAAACGGTACTTCTTTCTCTTTACATAAAATATTAGGATGTTACTTCTGTGTACTGTTTTGTATTAGTTCTGTAATCATTATCAATTTTTTGTAATTTCATCCCTTAAGTTCATCTGGTCACTGCAATTTGTGACTTCCCAAAATACTTTTCAAATTCATAATTTAATCACTTGTGCAAAAGTTAGATTCCTTTTAGGCTTGCATTCCTCCTATTCCTTTGAGACATCCTTAATCTGATTTCCCAAGTTCTTTCCCTTATTGAATTTCCTTGTTAAACTGATCCCATGAAACGACACCAAAATTAGGACACACATTTTCAACAGGTTTAACATATCTTAGATTTCAGCCGTCTAACTTGCTCTTTTCACTCAAATTGTTACTTTTATTATTCAAATGTTAATGCCCCTATTTTCTTTTTTAACCTTGTAAATTTCTGTTTCTAATCTCTGCTAACCTACTAAATAAACAAATGTAGTTTTTCACTAATTCAATAATATTCACTGGAATTCATCATTTTTTTTTGTCAGCTAACCTAGTAAACAAATGACCAGTACTTATTTTCTGTGGAGCATTCAAAATGAGATTCTTGTTAATCAGTGTGTTATCAACGTCTTGTTTTATAACTAAAATCACCGATTTCATTATGCACTTAATTTCCCCCAAGCTTCCTAAAACTTTTTTTTTCATTTACAGCAGAGGCTCTGTTATTGTGTTCAACATCATGGTGTTCTAATAAGAATTTTATAGGCGTGCCAATGCTGACACAGATCAGTGGATATTCCCATAATATCACTCCATTATCAGTGGATAAAGGAGTACTTAAGCAATAGGAAGCAGAGTGTTACAGTGAGGGGGTGAGACCTCAGATTGGCGTGGAGTCCCACACGGTTCTGTACTCGGACCTATCCTGTTTCTGATATACGTAAATGATCTCCCAGAGGGTATAGACTCATTCCTCTCAATGTTTGCTGACGACGCCAAAATTATGAGAAGGATTAAGATAGAGGAGGACAGCTTGAGGCTTCAAGAAGACCTGGACAAGCTGCAGGTATGGTAAAACAAATGGTTGTTAGAGTTTAACCCAAGCAAATGCAATGAAATGAAGATAGATGTAGGAAGCAGGAGACCAGATACAAGGTATCATTTGGGAGATGAAATACTTCAAGAGTCAGCGAGAAACCTGGGGGTTATCATCACGCCGGACCTGTCCCCTGAAGCTCATATCAAGAGGATAACATCAGCGGCATATACAAGGTTGGCTAACATAAGAACGGCCTTTAGAAACTGGTTGGTTGATTCCTGGTTGATGGGGTTTTGGGAGTTCTTCTACTCCCCAAGCCCGGCCCGAGGCCAGGCTTGACTTGTGTAAGGAATCTTTCAGAACTTTGTATAACACACATGTCAGACCAATCCTGGAGTATGCAGCTCCAGCATTGAGTCCATATCTAGTCAAGCATAAGACTAAACTGGAAAAGGTTCAAAGGTTTGCCACCAGACTAGTACCCGAACTGAGAAGGAGCTACGAGGAGAGACTACAGGAATTAAACCTCACGTCACTGGGAGACAGAAGAGTTAGAAGGGACATGATCACCACATACAAGATTCTCAGAGGGTAGATAAAGACAGGCAATTTACCACAAGGGGCACACGCACTAGAGGATACAGGTGGAAATTGAGTGCCCAAATGAGCCATAGAGATGTTAGAAAGAATTTTGTCAGTGTCAGAGTAGTAGACAAGTGGAATGCATTAGGAAGTGATATGGTGGAGGCCGACTCCATACACAGCTTCAAGTGTAGATATGATAGAGCCCAGTAGGCTCAGGAACCTGTACATTAGTTGACTGACAGTTGAGAGGCAGGACCAAAGAACCAGAGCTCAACCCCTGCAAGCACAATTAGGTAAATTAGGTAAGTACAGATGAAAAGTTTTCCAACAGATAGACAAATGAGTTGTAATCAGAGGCAATGTATCAGACTGAAGAAATGTTACCAGTAGAATACCACAAGGTTCAGTTCAAGCACCAGTAATGTTCATTGTCTATATAAACAAACTACCAGGGGGGGAATTCAGAATTACGTGAACAAATTTGCTGCCGATGTTAATCTACTAAGAGAATACAAGAGACTTACATGACTGTCATACCCTCCAAGATGACCTAGACAAAGTAAGTATATGGAGCAACACTTGGCAAATGAACTCAATGTGAATAAATGCCAAGTTATGGAATGTGGAATAGGAGAAAATAGGCTTCACATAACCTGCATATTATGCTAAGATAGATATTAAAGAACTTGGGAAAAGAAAGAAATCAAGGGGTGGTTCTGGATAGCAAACTGTCACCAGAGGACTACATTAAGGACACTTTGTGAGGAGCCTATGTTACTCTTTCCAGCTTTAGAATTGCTTTTAAATACATAGACAGTGAAATATTAAGTAAATTGTTTACAACTCTTGTGAGACCAAAATTGGAATATGTAACAGTTGTATGGTGCCCACTTAAGCAAATCAATAAACTGGAAATGATGCAAAGACATGTTACTAAATAGCTTCTGGAGCTAAAAATCATGAGTTATGAGGAGACGTTAGAGGTATTGATTATGCCATAGTTAGTAGAAAAAAAGAAAGAGGCGATAAGATCACTACAATACATACAAAATAGTGACAGGAATCTACAAAATTGACAAAGATGTAACCTGCAAATTCAAGAAGTCATATATTCAAACTAAGAAAACAAAGGTGCCCAAAAAAATGTTAGAATGTTCTCCTTTGCAAACAGAGTGGTAGACATTTGGAACAAGTGAGGTGGTGGTGGATGCCAAAACTGTCAGAAGTTTTACAGTATCATATAACAGTACTGGGAAGAGAAGACACTACATACCTGTTGAATGTAGTTCTCATCCTGTAACTACACTTAGGCAACTACACAAAATTAGAGGAAGTGCAAGAGTCAGCAACAGGATGGGTAGTGAAGAGGAAGGATCTATGAAGAGACACTGGAGGAACTGAAATTATCAAACTTATATAGATAGATAATAAAATAAAGACAAGAGGAAAAAGCAAATACTAAACACGAACAGTGAATAAAACCATAATGATAAAGATAAACATGAAATATTTCTTTGAAAGCGTGAGAGGTGTATTCATTTAACAGCCTGCGAAGTCTGTAGTAAATGTAAAAATTACAAATAACTTCAAAACCAAATAAGGTAAAATAAGAAAAACAGGTCATCGTGAGCATAGTTCTCATTCTTTAACTACAACTGACTAAATACATTTAGTCAATTCCACACAAGTTTTGAGAACTTCCCAATATATGTCAGAATATTGTGTGAATCCAAAAAAATTTATGTTTTTCAATATTTTCCTCAATTTGTATTATTTTCTTTGTGCCAGTGGAAACAGTCATGTTTTTAGATTAATTAAAAACTCTTTGCCTGCAATAAATTTGTAATTTTGTCAATGCTGATTGAATTGAACGAGAAAACACGTTCTCCATTATACGAAGGAAGTAGGACAAACAGTATGCTTGCTCCTAGTACTAGATTATATTAGACTCGATCAAGCAAACTATGCTGTTGAAGTTCGGGACACGGAAATCTTTTAATAAAATGCGAAAAAAAATGTACAAAAAGGTCTGCAAACAATGAGTCAATATAACGTGGCTAAAGATATGATGACCAAGTCACAAATAAAAAAATTAACAAAAGTTTCTTAATTTTCTGATGCTTGGTTCAGTCATCATACAAAGGTCTGAAAGCATATCTATGATAGATGGCACAAAGTGCAAATTGGAGTAATTTGCTTGGATTCCTTTAAGTTGCATTTAAATAATTTATAATAAAGAAAATCATGATCAGAAAAAATTAAAAAATAGTCATTTAAAAATAATCTAAAAGCCTTAGGGAATAACTACAACTGTACATCAGTCTGAAAACATAACCAAAGTTTAAATACTAGACATGTCAAACTGGCTGATGTAGACAAAGGTTCACTACATTGCATGGAACTGTTGTTGCATCACAACTATTTCCTTAGAGGTGAATCAATGGAACTGAAACTCATTTTCATACAAAACAGGCAAGCACACACACGCGCACACAATGGTATTTGCATTCATGATATAAAAACCATGAGTGGTATGAGTAGGTTATTCCTCAAATACAGATCCTAATACTTCTGTTATCACTTAACAACAAGGTGTTTAAGGAGCTCAAGAACACTCTAGGCAGTTTAACATTATAAATTCCTTGGTACCTCTTTTTCTGCTTCCTCCATGGCTTTCTTGATTTTATATCTGTCTAAAATAATTTGCCGTCGTGCTTTTTCTTCCTCCTTCTTTCGTAGCTTCTCCTCCTCTTTTAATTTTTCTGCTTCCCTTTTTGCTTGTGCTTCCATCTCCTTTCTTAATCTTGCCTCCTCTTGTTCCTGTTTGCGTTTCATGGACATCATCATGAGCTTCTCCTTCTTCTTCTCCATCTCTGATGCAGATGACTAAGATGGGTAGGTTTATGTCAGTTTAATCTGATATAATTACAACTTTCAACATACGATAACTGACTTGTCCCCAATTAAGTCACATGAAAAATTATGTGGATACTCTTATGGATACATAATATAATACACAAATGAGAATGCTCTTTATCTATTTAGTTTTGTTATTTACAAAGCAATGGTGCAATATCAAGTTTAAATACTGCAAATGTGAAAACTTCTCATGGCAATTAATCCATAAACATAACTGTTTCAAGAACATTGAAGTGTTACAGAACTCAAATTACTGGATACAAAGTTGAGAAACGTTTCCATTATATTCATAAAGTATCCACAAATTTAATTTAAAACTTGCATCAACTTCTTAAAAAAAATTATTATAGTTACTTTCTAGTACAATTTAAACAAAACACAGTCAATTAAGAATCTGTACTGTATCAAGATGCTGTCTACCACTGTGGCAAGCTTCCTACTCCACCCTGCATGTTCCATATCATTTATCAACTATATTTCCCCATGAATATTTAAACAAATTTTATTCATAATATGAAAATAATGCTTCTGCAGTATCAGAGCCAAATAAAGTACAGTACTGTATTTCTATATATCAAGAATTTTGAGAGCTCTTTTTGTACAGAATTTGGGCTTGTCACAAATTAGTACGTATAAACAAATTAAAATTTAAAAATCACACAAATTAATGGAATCCAACATTGCTCATAGTTAAATATTTAAAACAAAAACCATGCTTTAAATATGAAGTCATAATAAATAGAATATAAATGTAAGCAAAGTTCTTACCCCACTCCTTCACTATAATCTATAATCTACTGTTCTAATACGAGTAAATTTTCTGACAGACATATTTTACATTTTGTATTTCCAATACTTGCTAACTTTTGCAATTAATTAGCTTAAAGAGAAGAATTTAAAATAAGTACCAGTAGATATACATAAATTGTCAGGAAAAAAATGGCTGAAAGTATTTTTTTAGAATAAAGACAAAGATTATATAAAAACTATAATAAAAACATATCTGTACCTTAACTTAACCAATTTCAACTACCCATGGAATCAATACAAAACATTAGCATTTTTTGTATGTAGTTGGTATTGGAGTTGAAGACAACTTGGATGCAGTTTTGTTGTATAAAGTTCAAATACCCTGCACTAACTTTGAAATAAACCTCCCAATTATTTTGTGTTGTGTTTTTCCGAGCTAAACCACAAAGTTGCTCCTTTACACTAAGCTATCCACAAATAGGGAAGGATAATATTTCACACTGGTGAAAAATATATCTTTTCAAATGTCCTGGTCAAAATCTTAGAGAGTCTTCTTAACTACACACACGACCCTTTCCAAGTGCTACTCGGCATCAAAAACATAATTAAGGAGTGCACTGCTAATCACTATGTGATTGGCGGAGACGAAAAAATACAGTAAGTGTGACTTGCCTTCTATTCTTAAATTTTTGCTTCACTGGGTTCATGCTAATGGATCTTTCAGCCCGTCCTAAGGTTTTCCAATGTCAAGAAACTGTCATATTAATGTGCCCTCTCCTAACCTATCTTGAGATGATCTTGAGGTTATCTTGAGATGATTTCGGGGCTTTTTAGTGTCCCCGCGGCCCGGTCCTCGACCAGGCCTCCACCCCCAGGAAGCAGCCCGTGACAGCTGACTAACACCCAGGTACCTATTTTACTGCTAGGTAACAGGGGCATAGGGTGAAAGAAACTCGGCCCATTGTTTCTCGCCGGCGCCTGGGATCGAACCCAGGACCACAGGATCACAAGTCCAGTGTGCTGTCCGCTCGGCCGACCGGTTCCCTGGTCGGCCGACCTACATCCGACCTACAAGAGGACCCAAAACAGAAAACTGGACAGTATGTCAATTTTGCGGGCCACTACCATTTTCTAGTATGAATTTTTGATCTTAGGTAGCGAATGCATTAAAATGCAACACGCTATTAGGAGGCTGGGTTGGTTTTTTTGTGTATATACAGTATACAAACTTGTCATGTGTGTGTGAAATCTGTAACTGATTAGTGATACAGAGTTGTCTTTTCTGCGAGGATTTGGTTAGTGCCTCAGCAGCGAGATGCTATTCTTGTGGTACACTACTTTTGTGGTTTCTTGGAACTTTGTACACGGATGTAGGGTGCTAGTGCTGTAAATATACATTAAAGGAGTGGTTGCAAAATCATTTGTACATGCTTATACAAGTCATTTCTTTTACCCCGGATCATACTTAATCGTGTTATTCATGGCTGAATTTATTTGTATACTTTTTATATTCATGAGCTGCCCCTGTTTATTCTCATCTTTAAGTTGGACAGGATTTGGCTAGGGGTATATTTTGTATTTATATATTGGCTCTTCATACTGTAGTCTAGAGCCAAGGTCCGGGAACCTTGGGCTGTGTGTCTAGTGACAGTCTATCGTGTTGTTGGCCCAATGCACTTCAATGTAGAAATTGGCATAATTCTGCATGGCTATTTCATATACAACGTCTCAAACCCCTAGTCTCAGTGTGAATGATGATGCTCCAACTATGCTGGAGGTTTGTATACTGAAATATCAGCACCAGAGGTTCTAACTTTCATATTAAGAGTGTTTATTGCAAGTTCCACACACTGTAATAAGGCTATCTGCCATGCAGGTACAGTTGAGAAGGAAATTTGCTTCAGGACTGGTAGGTGTTGCTTACTCTCCAGTCCCTGCTCTCTGGCTGCTGCTGTAGTGGCCACTTTGTGAATTACAATGCAATGCAAACTTCCCGCAAAAATAACTTTATATTGGAAATTACTATACAGTACATTTTCTCAGTTGACAAAGCAAATAAAATTAAATCAAAGTCATGACTCCTATGTAGATTATGCTTTTACTAATGTGAAAGAAAGCAATTCCAGTGAAAATTTGAAGAGAAAACTAAATAATTCAAACATAATGAAACACTATCTTCTGGGTGGCTTGAGAACCTCCCCGTGCACTGGCTGTGACACCACATAAGATATCCACACAATTACACAACAAAATGTTCACAAATGAATTATCTAGAAAATAGTTACAAAAACAAGTGTATTTATAATAGGTTATGTGCAACAGAGATGAATATACAAATGTTTATGAATAACAATCATATAGGGAAGATAACCCTGTCATAAAGTTGGGGCAAACTAATTGACTAAGGACATACGAACACAATCACGAAGCGTAATGAAAGAATACCAAGTATCTCTTTCCCTCCTTCTTGGGAATATTAAAGATGGTCAATGCAGAGTAAAGGTCGAGTGTGTGGTACCTGACACGTAAGTAAAGCAGGTTAAGTCCCTGGGTGACCTGAGCTGCCATCTGGTGGTGCATTTAGATAGTAGCACATGGTCTGTTGTCAATGGGCAAACTATTGCTTTCCTTGATTTTATCTTTGCGCTCTCTCTCTAATCCAGACAAACAGTTTTGCTTTGCCTGTACTTTCTGGGAGGTTTTACTCTATTTTGAGCTTCATCTCATAACCCAATTCTTCTCTCGCCTGTTTGCCCCCACCAGATTCTTGTCCTGGTGTTTGGCAGACCTCGACAACTTCAGTGCTGATAGTTTAGTGGATGTCTGGTACCAGAGCAGATGCACAAGAAGAGCTACTGAGGCCAGCCCAGAAATTCAAAAATATAAATCAAATTCAAAATACTTGCACAGGTACTATATTCAAGTCATCAATTTGAGAGAGAAAAAAATCACTTAAGTCTTTCCAAACCTATTTCTTGAAAATAAAATTAACATTGAATTTTTCTAAAGAGTAATCAATCTAAATATTATCAATTTTTCTAAAGGGTAATCCATCTAAATATTAGGAGTACCTTGCGATGATTCCAGGGCTTAGCGTTCCTGTGGCCCGGTCCTCGACCTCCTGTGGTACAACTATTATTTTAACTTGTAAACAATGAAATATCCAGGACAAGAATACATTCATGTAGGGACATGAGATAACATCCATGCAAGATGCTCAACAACAGCAATAATATGAAATATCATCCATGCAGGATGCTCAACAGCTGCAAGTGCATGAGATAACACACATGCAAGATTATTAAGACCTGCAAGGGGATGAGATAACATACATGAATAAGCTGATCCTATTTGTCCATATAAATTACTAATACAAATAAACCATATAAACTGCACCAGTACTTTTGTTGCTTGAAATGATTTTTGTAATTTTGTATGAATTCGAAAGGCTTAAAAAGAAGGCACTATAGATTTGATGCAAAAATTCTTTAAAATGTTTATAAATACAGTATGCTGCACTTGGGTTACAGCATTCAACATAATTAAGATTTCAATACTTCTTAACATAGGTTAGATAACTGTACTGTACTCACATTCTCACTGATGTCTCGATCATCACCAATGACTATGGCCATGCCTGCAGTAGGTTCTGATAGTCGGTTCTTACTGGAATAGGAAGTCAGTTCCTCCAAATGTACACCAGGGTGAGGCTCATGCTCCTCCTCCCGTTCAGTCTCCGAGGGAGAATTATGGGAGAGCCCATTGATTTGGGGTGAGGGATAGCCACGTTTTGAGCTGGACTGGTTACTACTGAGGGTAAAAGGTGATTTTGCCATGCTGGGGCTATGGGTTTGAGTCATGCTGCCACTCTGAGGATCACACGAACCATTGGAGGTCCGACTGGGTCGGCTCTGAATGGGCATACACACACACACATGCATTAATGTGAGGAGAAGTAAAGTTAGGGTTACACATATGCCATAACAAAACAAAAAGCTTTATGATTTGTTACTAAATATGCAATAAAACACTGAGCATAAACTGAACAAAAAGACTACAACATGTTTCAATAAATTATTCTTGTCAGTATGTTTATAGCAGGCGAGGACCAATAAGCAGATGTTAAAAGGTTCTCAATCATATTGTGATAAGGGGGTCTAGTAGAAGACATACAGCTTTACATACAATATACATACATATACTTTGTACTGTACTTACAGGCACAACAGGAAGGTCTTCTCTGCTTGGAGTTGTTGCCGGAGTTGAAGAACTGGAATTTTTTCGGGCCATTTTCTTGTTCCGTAATTGGGGTTTAGGTTTTCTTGGGCCAGTATCACTATCAAAAGATATGTAAAACCCTTTATCAACTTTTGGACCCTCCTGGAGAGGCTCTGCCTTAATGTCTAATTCATCATCGTCATCATCATCATCATCATGCCCCCCCGAGTCCTGATGGTAAGGCGGAGTCCGAGACCGTTGTGGTGGGGCAGGCTGGGGCAAGTCTACATCATCATAAATTGGAGTACCCTTTTTAGTTGGAACTCTGAAAGTTTTGACTCCTAAACTAGGTCTCGTAGGTGAACCAGGTTCATGGGAAATGCGATACGTTTTACTACCCGAAGAGATGGATAACCGTTTTAATTTATCACTAGCGTCATCTCTCTGATTTTCACTGTGCTGTTCATCTGTAGAGTTAATAAATGAAACATTTTGTGGCTCCATATCATCAGGTGGTGGTGCAGCTACTGGAGCATGAGAAACTGATGTCTGTCGGGTAGGACTGGGAGACTTCTGTTGGCGCTGCGGGGGTTGTCTGCTTGGAGAAGATTGGGCACTGGATCTAAGGCTGCCTTGACCACGACTGTCTGCATTAGAACCCCAACCATCTCCACCAGTACCTTCGCCATGTAATCTAAAGGGTGGTGTCTGGCCCATTTGTCTTTGATGGTCACCTGAGATAAATGACAAAAAACGAAAAAACAAAATTAATTTCTCTATACCTCTATTAAGTGTTAATGATGCACTAGTCAAAGTATATACAGACTGAGTCACAATAACGTGGCTGAAGATATGATGCCCAAACCATACATCATTAGATGGAGAAACGATGACGTTTCCGTTTGTCCTAGACCAAGTCATTTGTTTAATAATGGTCGAGGACAGACCAAAATGTTGTCGTTTCTCCATCTTCTGATGGGTTGTTTGGTCATCAAAGAATATAAAGTATGTATTTAAATATTTTTAAGGTCTGACAAACTTTCTGTATTTGATAACAAGAAATACAGTATGTTAATGTCATTGTAAAAACAAATTAAGATACAGGCATACCCTAACTTGTGCATCTCTAATGATAAATAGAATAATAATTCTCCAAAACTTGTAATTTACCCTAGAGAATACGATTCTTTGGAGGTAAAGTGAAAAACTAATCTGTTACTCAAAATAAACATCTAGGGCTGCATGGAAAAGTCAAATGTTGGGAGTAATGTCTGTGGTCTCCTGAGCCTCTGTGACAACTGGCAAACAAGCAGCCAAAGTTGCAACACAAATTTTTAAGACAAAAAATTGCCATTTGTATTAAAAAATGAAGTAAACACATTATGAAGATCATCATAATTTAAAAATTTGATTCATGACTTAACGAATTATTTAAAAATTTGAATTATTTTAAATATGAATAAAAATCATTTTACAAACTTGTTCCAATCACATCAAATGAGGACAATGATAGAATGATGGTAACTGCAGCTAGCTGTTGCTTAATAGCCATTAAAATGGTAAAGTATTCAAAATCTGTTATGTACTATATACAGATATATGTACACATGACCTTCCTATAATTAATATACAATTGAAAATATATAGTTGATGAAAATAAGAGTAAATAATTACACTTAAAAATGGGAATGAGTGGCTGCAAGAGGAAGAGTGGTCACAGGAGGTAGTAGCAATAGGAGGGAGAGAGGACCACAAGAATATGTTTTGCTTTATAACTATATTATTTAAATTATAGAAAGTGGCTACTCGTGTACTCCTCTCTGCCACAGTTTGTCCTGAATATTTCAGCTTTGAATCTATGCAGGTGGTGATGATGGCTTATGGTGATGTGATGGTCATACATAAGATGCGATAAAGTATCTAAACTATTGAATCGTGTCATAGCTCTCCAAAGCTCACTAGAAAGGAGGCGAGAGAGATATCTCAAATAATATACACTTGGAAAATACTGGAGGGCCAGGTCCTTAATCTACAGTGTAAAATAACAACATACTGGAGTGAATGATATGGAAGAAAATGCAGAACAGAACCAGTGAAGAGCAGAGGTGTCATAGGCACAATCAGAGAACACTGTATTAACATCAAAGGTCCACCGTTGTTCAACATACTACCAGCGAGTATAAAAAAATATTTCGGGAACAACCGTAGACATCTTCAGAGAAAACTAGCTAGTTTTCTTCAAGAAGTGCCAGACCAATTGGGCTGTGGTGGAAATGTGGGCCTGCGGGACACTCCAAGCAACAGACTGTTGAACCAAGCACTCACGAGTCAAGCCTGGCCTCGGGCAGGGCTTGGGGAGTAGAACAATTCCCAGGACCCCATCGAGTAGGTATCAAGCAGGTATTTGGGTGAAGGTACTTAGTGATGGGTGGTTGCAAAGGTGATGCAAAATTTGTTTATGAACTTGGCATTCTATTTTAAAGAAGCCCACCCCTCAGCTTTGCTATTTTATTGAACAAAACAGTGTTGAATGTAATGAAACGCCATTTTCTGGGTGAACCCCAAAGGCTTCCGGAAGCTATCGGGCTAATGTGCGACATATTAGACCGGGGTATTAGTCTATGGAGTTCACCCTACAGGGGACTACGAGCCAGAACCTGACCCACTCAGAGAGGTTTCAGGGCGCAATGGCCCTGGAACACCCCCATAGTTGGGGTTTTTTCCTTCTCTGCCATCAACCAGGGTTGGGCACCCTGAAAGGCAGGCAAAACAAAAACCCCAAATGGTAAAAAAAGTACACCGGAAAACCTGAAAAGAGAGGCAGAACTCCCTCCAATCCCAAGGAAACACACAAACGTCAAACTCCATTGCCACTCTCCTCGTCCTTGCAGCCCTTCCCTCCCTGAGAAGAGGAGGGGGGGGAGCCCCAGACATCCCAATGCAGACAACCCAGCACTCCAGTTCGGAAGCTAAGTATCAAATAACGCAAAAAACTGCCGACCGGAGGGAAGGAGGGTTGCAAGGGAGCCTCCGGGGCTTACCCAGAAAATGGCGTTTCATTACATTCAACGCTGGTTTTCTGTGGAGAGCTCCTACAGCTCCCTGGAGCTACATACCCAAAGATAAGGAAAAAAGGGACTTACCCCGGGAGGCGGCCGCCACACACTCCTCAATGCAAAGTTGAGATAGCTGGCTGCAACCTGTGACCTATAGCAACACAGGAATGCCCAGGAGAAGGAGCGTTAACCAATAACGGGCGGCCAGGTCCCTCTTCGACCTCCAAAATCCCCGTGCCCAAATATCAGCCAAACACGGCAGCCAATGCAGCAAATTTCCTAACATCATAGGCATGAGGATAGATTACAGGATGGCTAGACTTAATAACCTTGCGGACAACCTGGGAGACCTGAGCCCTGGAACAGGGCACGAGGCAAATCGGATCAACCCAAAGCCCATTCCCAGCCGCCGAAGCACGCAGATAATGGCGAAGAGCCGCAACCGGACACAACACATGATGCACCCCACGACCTGACCAACCACGCATCAATGACCCAAGGACCCCTCCGGAAAGCAGCTGTCTCGTTTTTCACCAAAAAAGGAGGAGAAAGCTGCACCCAAACAAACTGACCACCAGGACCAAGAAAGCAGAAACCCCCTGAGCCGGAGGAGATCATGAAGCTCACCGACCCGATCCCCAGAGGCCAATGCCAACAGAAAGACAACCTTGGAAAAACAATTTTGAACCGAACAGGCCACCACAAACTGCGGAGAGGAAAGATAGGAGAGCACCCTGTCCAAGGACTAAGATGGCTCCGGCAGTGCATGAGCAAGCCTGAGGTGAAACAAAGGCCGAGAAAGCTTATGGAACGGGGCAGAAATGACATCCACCCCAAACGCAAGCTTGAGCAGCTCCTCCAGCATCAAACGATATGAGGTGCCAGTATTAGGCATCAAATGACAGTCCAGAAAAAGTCAAGACAGAAAGGACAAGACAACCCGATTAGAAATAAGACAACCAACGGAGAGAAAGAAAACGTCGGAAAGAACACCAGGAAACTTCATACTATCGCTAAGACGAAGCTCTCAGGTGGGATAACATCAATGAAGCCACCTGATCACCAGACAAATGGTGGTAAACCCGCGTCAAAAAGACCAGATGCGAAGAGTGGAGAAGATCGAACCAGCCAGGAACTGAACTGGACTGGCCCGACCTGCTGGAAGAGGTGGAGCTGTGGAAAACATCCCGGGTTTCCACACCAAGCGAGCCTGGAACCAAGGCTAGGCCAGTCACCAAGTGGCTACGAGGACTGCTCTCCTTTGGAAGGACTCCAACCGAGCCAGAACCCAAAGTAACAGCTGGACCGGGGGAAAAGAGGTACAGGTAACCAAATCTCGATCATTTCTGCTGAAAGGCGTGCACTGCGACAGCCTTGCAGTCAGAGAAGGGCGCCACACAGATCAGGCTTCGCTGAGACCATGCCGACGTAAAGAGGTCCACGTCCGGCAGAGCTAACGGAAGGAGTTGGCATCGACTGTCCATTCCGTGGACAGAGGAATGAACCGAGACAGGCCATCTACCAGGATGATGGACACACTCCGGATATGAACCACATGAAGAGCTAAATACCAAGAAGCCAGCAGACAAGCCACTTGAAGCGACACGCCCCAAACAGGCAAGGACCGAAAAGAACTCCCGTGATTAAGGAAATGAACCATCAGAGAACAGTCCGAATGGAGCCGGATGGTCGAACCCTAAGTGACCCTGAACCCTCCGAAGTGACAGCCAAACCGCTGTGAACTCCTACACCGTGCTGTGAGCCCGAAGGAAGGATGGATCCCATTGCCCCTGGCCAGCCTGGTGAGCACTGGTCACAAAGCCCCAGCCAAGAGACGATTCAAGCCAAAAGGAAGGCAACAAAAGTGGCAAGCCAGACGCCCCACCACAAAACCTAACCAGTCCCTAAACCCAAATGAATAGGAACATGCCAATACACGTCCTTAAGGTTCAGGAACACCATCCAGGCACCCAGCTCCAAAAGAAGCCGGACCTGAGACAGAGTGGTCATCCGAAAGGAGGGGCAAAGAATCTAGGGGTTCAGACGAGACATGTCCAGTATTAACTTTAGATCCCGCACAGTCTCGTTTTGGCACTGGGAACAGGCGGGAAACAGACTTGAGGGATGAATTCGTTTCGACCACGCCCAAGCGCACCCACTCCGAGATGACCTGACGAAGTGCAAGGAAAGAAGCCTGCTATTCCAGTCCAGAACCCCCCGAAGGGAGAGGAGCTGCCCAGCTGCCACCACAGGTTGGATGACATTACCTGGGCGATGACAATTCCTGGGTGAAAACACCCAGGAATTGTGGGATCAAGTGAACAGGGGCGAACCGCAAAAGGGCCAATGCCACTTCCGAGAAGCCGGCCACCGAATACAGCGATCATCGTGTCAACCAGACGACACCGGCTCCGAAGGTAGCATTGGTTCATAAGCTGGCACCAATGGCACACCTTGACCAGCGGAACCCCAATCCCTGCCACGACCCATCCGAGAAAACCAAAACTGCCCGCCCCGGAGAACTAACAATCTGACATAGGATGAAAACTAGACGAAGCCGCTGGCAGAAACTGCGTGACAGCAGACACTGCAAACAGCAATGTTCAAAACGGCAACGAAAACCTAAGAGCCAGGGCTCAAGCGGATTCCAAAGAGAGTGAGCACAGCCTGACAGCATGCGAGGCAAGGAAGCAAAGAACAGACACACCGCCTTCTTCAGGATAGGCGCAAACAGCTTCAACAGTACGGCCGATGCCCAAGCTGACAGGGACAGCACACCAGACGAAGGCCCGGCATTCAATGTCTCCACATCCTCCTCAAGCCATGCCGAAGACGGCTCAAGAAAATAGAAACAAAAGAAACATTTGACAACACTGAAGCCAAATGCCCAAGGGCAAGCAAATCCTCTGCAACCAAAAATGCTGAATGGGTAGGAACCTGCACGTGCAGCTGCACAAGGCCAATATCCCGAGAAAGCACAGGGGGCAAACAAGCAAGCATTAAGGCGCTCAAACTCATCCCCCAGGTAAACCTGCAAAACGGTAAAAGTTTCGCGCCACTCAAGTGTGTGGGTCCGACAGAACCCATGCCACGTCCCCAATGAAAAGAATGGACAGTCTGCCAGTCAGGAAGACTCCAGAACCTCCAAATGCAACCAATAAGGGGAAGAAGAACTGAATTCAAATAAGGATGGATCAATCACGGAGGTGGAATCCAGGTCTCGCAGGAGGTATGCAGCAAGAGCCTTCCAAACCTCCTGAGGGGAAATACGAGAAGCAGAAAATCTCTGGAAAGACTGGGCTGAGGAACCCAAAAAAGCCCGAAACCGAACCCAGGGAGGAGCCGTCCCCAAATCATACTCATACAGGGAAGGGGGAATAAGAAAACCCCTACCCCTGCAACAAGAAGTCCTGCAAAAAGGGCACCAACACCCAAGTGGGATGAAAAGGGACCCAAGGCCCCCATGTCGACTGCTCCCCAGCCCTGGGATCTCCCAAGTCGGGATCTGGAGCAGAGCAGTTCAGGAAAAAGGCTGAAAAGAAGGGGGCCTGTTGGTGGGATCCAGAGGCCTCGACAGGAGGAACCGGCTCAAATGCCTCCGTCCCCAACCCGAATGAGGCAGTTCCCGAAGCTGCCCGAGTCTTGTTACCAACTAAACCTTGCCCAGACTCCGAAATCCTCAGACCTTATATGACAAAGAGTGCTGGGAAAACGGGACACCACAAGCGTAGCTCTCATCCTGTAACTACACTTAGGTAATTACACTTAGGTAATTACCTTTGGGAGGCAGAAACAAGGGGAGAAGGAGGGAAAAGGGTGAACAAAAGGGAAGCATGGACTGAACCAAAGTTGAAGCGACTAACGCCCCCAGGTCTGGGTCCTTATAAACAAAGCGGGGCATCCGGGTGGGAATCCAACCTAGCGTGTTGCAAAAAACTGAACCTAGCAAGCCACGCAGATGCTGCCTGTACCCTAACAGCAATGTTATCATAATAGTGGCCTATTATTTGCCGTGCCCTTGGGGCCAAGGACCCCATGAGCGGGGCAAATGGCGAGCAGCAAAAAACAAGCAGAGGACATAATTTGCAAGACTCCAGGTCAAAGGTGTCGTTGACCCAACAGGCAGCATGACTGAGGCAAAAGAGGCGACTGTCACCCTGAGACAAGGGCACACACCTACTTTCAAACCCGCACGACATGGGTGGGAACTTGAAAGACGCATCCATAGGCCCACTGGGCCCTGACAGGGTTTTCCAGGGCCCATAAGCTGACTGCTACGGGACGCCTGGGCAAGGTATTGCTAACCAGTTAAGACCCAAACCTAAAAAGGGGGAGATCAAAACATTGAAACCCCTACGACGTGTACAATCATGGGGGCCAAGCAGTGGGCCATCAATTATTAGAAGTGGAACTATAACCACACCAGGCAGACTTTCATCAGGCAAGAAAAATTAAAAATAAAAACCAAGTAAAAGTACGTGGTTTCCAGAGGAAATAAGAACTGGCCGCTGCATAGGTAGGCAGGCAGACTGCACATCACCATGACGCCCCAACCAGCATGATACCACTCCCTATCCAAGGGCCAAACAAGGGCGATAAAACCCCAGCTGGCCCCAAGGGCGGGGCAAATGCCGAGCAGCAAAAACCCCTATGGAAATGGTTTCTCAAATGCACCAGGGAAGGGAACCCAAACACGCTATGGGCAGTACTCGCAGGGCACCTAGGGAAGGGTGCCCCTAAGTGCATGCAGCTCCAGTACTCTCAAAGACACCTGGCCACTGTACACAATAACACTGCAGAGGTCGCCACAAAGGCAAAACACGGCCTTGGAAATCGAGGCTAGAGAAGACGTCCGCCCCAGACGACATAAGCGAACAAACTGGAGTGCTGGGTAGGTCCGGGGCTGCCCTCTCCCCCTCTCAGGGTGGGGAGGGCTGTACGGATGAGTGGAGCTGAGCGGCAGTGGAGTGTGATGATTGCTTGTTTCCTTGGGATTGGAGGGAGTTCTGCCTCTCTCTCAATTTCTTCGGTGTACTTTTCTAACCATGTGGGGTGTGTTTTGTTATGCCTACCTTTCTGGGTGCTTAACCCTGGTCGATGGCAGATAAGGAAAAACCCAAACCACAGGGAAGTTATCCAGAGTCATTGCTCCATGAAACCTCTCTGAGAGGGCCAGGTTCTGGCTCGTGGTCTTTGTTAGGGTGAACTCCATAGATTAATGCCCCAGTCTAATATATCACACATTAGCCTGATAGCTCCATGGAGCTGCAGGGGCTACCCTCAGAAAAGTTAGTTTATATTAACACTTTCGCGCTCTCGGCGCTCAAAAAAAAACAATACCCCAGATGCTTTCGGCACTTCGCGCGCCTACGCGGTAAGACCGAAAAGTGTACACTCTTTTGACTGTCCTGACAATAATTGAAGGCGCACGTATTTAAATTTGGTATCACTGTGTTCGCAATGAAATTGTCTATAAGAGCATACCAATAAAATGCCGCCCAAGCATAAGGAGTATCAACACCAAATAAAAAACTATGCAGATCACTTGCCGAGAGCGCCAAACAACAACAAAATGTTTCCACTCTCTTAATGGTTGCGAAACCTACAGTTGTCCTACATCGCTAATTTTGGTATCATTGGAATCGCAATAAAATTCTCTACACGGACATATGCATATGAATGTTTAATATAGGTAATTGCCCACCCGCAAGAGTGTGTGAAGTGGAGAGTAGTTAGCCGCGAGCGCACTGGCGAAAACACAGGGGGGAAATCATGCTTGGAAAGTTTATACGTTTCCTGACCCTACTTTTCTATGTATGTATTTCTTTTTTATACCAATGTGTTCGCAATAAAATTTTCTATAAGATGAACTGTATAACATTTGTACAAAGCATGTGTAAGAGAAGCGCCAAATATAGAACCACGTCGCTCAGTATGCGTTCGCGGCAGAAACGAACGCATTGTTTTCGTTCGTTTGATGTTTGTCATGTTTATACTTGTTGAAACATTTTATAATTTGTATGACAGTGATCGCAGTAAAATTCCCTACACAGACATATACATAACACATACAAATATTTCCCACGTGTTGGATATATCAACGGCTAAAGGGAACCCACTGCCACACGCTCGCCACACCCCCAAACATACTTTGTGTATTTTTTTTTTTACTCATAGAAGTTTATGTGATATAATATTCATTCTGGTACCAAAACATTCGCAAATAAATTCCCTACAAAACAAAAGTATCCCCATCCATTTCGGTTAAAAAATGGAATTTATAGAAATATTTTTTCGATGGACGAGAAAACTCGGCTGTTATGCGGAATCGTAAGAGAAAACGGCGACGAGTTATCTCTAATCTAAAGCGCGAAAGTGTTAATCCAAACAAGGTTCCAAATAAAATAACTTCATAGACTTTGTGCATGATACAAGGGAATCAGTAATTATGGTAATAACTCATTGCTTCCCTCTTACCCACACTAAAAACTAAAAACAAAGACTTACTGGAACCATATGTTTGTGCATTAGGAGGATAACCTCTAAACTGGTGCTCAGGACTATAAAATCCTTGGCCATTCTGATACATGGCCTGAGGAGGTAGAGATTGTGTTTGACTATGAAGCATGAAGCCTTGGCCTGTGCTGCCCATCTGGGGTTGAGTGTTCACTTGGTTTAGTGGAGGCATTTGGGCCGGGTGGTTCATCTGATAGCCAGGATAGTAGTTCGGATGCTGGCCAGCCATCATATAATCATTCTGAGGCATCATAGGTCTGCACAAAAAGAACAAACTCAAATTCATTACACAAAATATTAACAGTCTAGTACAGTGCTTTATTTTTTCTGTCAAGAACACCCTACTCTTGATGGGATGGCACTAAGAAGGATCTTTCCAAGACACTTATGATAAAAGAAAGTTGAAGGAACACTTGAAACATCCATTGCAGAGTTCCACATTCTGGTTTGACTATCATATTAATAAATCAACCATTACTTGAGTTAACAAATCTAAGTATATCTATTGCAAGGAGACAGCCAATAAGCCCAAATACAGCAACAAAAACTTTATAACCCTCACCAGATTATAAAGCCGAGTACATGTCCATAACTTTACAAATATTAATTAAACAAAAGCACTAAAAATGCTTACATGAATTCCACAAAGAAAGTAAGTTATACTGATATTGAGAAAAGGTGGTGAGGTAAAGCACTGCTTAATTAAAAAATGTAAATAGTTGGGATGTGTTTCCATCCATGCTTGTTTTTGTAGCATACTGGCAGTCTTATGCGCTCACTTTAACCGTAGTTCTCAATCACTGCAAGCATACCAGCTCATCATAGTAGTTTACAGTAATACCTCATATAATCAATTATATAGCCTATACATTAAGCTGACAATTTGCTAAATATCAGTATTAAAGTTACTAGATTTATTGCTTGATAAAGAAAAAACATGCATGCATTTTATATTGCATTTTGAATTTCTTTTGCTACAGATAACTCATTCACAGAAACTTAAATGAATGCATGCAACACCTCAAATCCAATATTAAGTCTAAAGTCAGCCAAGTAGGCGATTGTCACCATTACAAACACTTACCTATGGTGGATGATCTCCGATCACACCGACTGGGTTAAATTTTAATCTAATTGTCCAAGGCTAACTATAAGTCAGGCAATGAAATGTCAGCATCTTTGTAAAAAAAAATCTCTACAGGATAAGATCTGAACTTTAAAATAGTTTGTCACTTCACTTATTAATGTCTGTCACTATCAAGAAGTCATTTAAATTTACTAGAGTATCTACACAAGAGTTTATTATGGTTAAGTCATACTTCATTTTAGCTTTTTCTTAGTATTTCGCATTAACACTGACAGCTGACGAAACAGTCCAGATGGTCTGCTTGTTTTAGCTTTGGTATTGTTTTCTATGGATTTTTCCATGTCAGATATTATTGTGGTCACAGTTTGGTTGGCCTGATCATCATCAGATATTGGCATGTGGGAGACCTCAGACACGTTGACGAGCGAGGAAAGAGAGTTCACTTTGTCATTTCCTTCACTGGTTGTGCAGCAGTAGGAGTCACATTCACAGTCCTCGCAACAAGAGCTGCTACACACATCTGAGTCCACCCGAGATTTTTTAGCTGGTCTAGTGGGGGCAGCCAAGGAGATTTATTATTAGGTTAATCATAAGTCCTGCCCTCTAAATGTAAAGCTTCACTGCCCTTCACCAGGAAGGAAGGAAGGAAGTAGGGGATTACTTGTGCTCTGCTCACAGATAATACAAGTATGAGATATGCATACTTGTATTCATCATAAATTCACGTGCATATTAAGTCAGGAAAACTGTTTTTGTCTTGGACAGAGATCAAATGAAGAACCAGAACCAAACATTATCAGAGGGATTCCCCTTTTTATCTGAAGACTAACTTCTCTTCCAAAAATACAAGCCATAAGACTTATTTAACAAGCTTATCATTAACTGAGTACTAGAACTGGACTAGTTTAAATGTCCAACAAGTTGATATGGGTAAATATTGTAATAACAAAAGCTAGGCCTCAAAGTCTTCAGAAAAAATAACATGCAAGACTTATATAAATTGTGACCACAATAAGGTTAATTTGCTGGCAATTTAAATGAAAGTAGACAATAAGATGACTTTTATAAATAAAGAAATAATTTACCATCAAATATTTAAGATGTGTAAAATAATATTATATGTACAAAGAAACCAAGTGGAAAACTTCATCTTTAATTTACTTCAAAACTAATTATTATTCAGCATTTGTACATCAAATTTTTACCGGAGAACCAACTCAAAAACATTAAACCAAAATAAAGATCACGAGGCAAATTTTGTCGTCGCTGCTTTGCACATTGTGTTCAGCAACAAGTGAGGAAGATCATGTTTTCAAGGAAATGAATGAGCCACTAAGGGATTAGAGTAATGTGCACATTTGTCTCTTCAGTCAGGCAACAAAAGTGTTAATGCTGTGTGTGTCTTGCAGTTGCCTAGGTTTCTCAAGTCCAGGTCAAAACTTCAAAGAATGGTCAGTACAGGATTATTTATTTACGTAACATACAGGAATAATACTAATGAAAACAAATTATAGAAAAGGAAATGGAGATACATGTTAAAGAGTGGGAGTGCAAGGCAGGAGGTAAAAACCAGCGTTAATTGAAATGAAATGAAATGCTATTTTCTGGACGAGCCCCGTCAGTTCCCTGAAGCTATCAAACTGACATGTGCCAAATTAGTTTGGTGTCATCAGTCCATTGACGGCTGTGTATCTTCCAGAAACCAGCACCAGAACCTGGTCCACTCAGAGAGGTGGAGGGAGCAATGGTCATATGAGCACTCTAAATGTAGAGTTTTGTCATGTCTGCCATAGACAGGGGAAGGCACCCAAAAAACCAGCATTGAATGTAATGAAACGCCATTTTCTGGGCGCGTCCTAGAGGCTCCCTGGAGCTATCCAGGCTGAATGGATATGTATATCTTTCTGGCAGCAGTCAATGCATGGAGTTCTTGCCTACCAGGGACCACGAGCCAGAACCTGGCCCCCTCAAAAGAGGCACGAGGAGCAATGGCCTATAGACCTTCCTTGTGGTTAGGAGCATTCTATGTCTGCCATCGACCGGGACAGACACCCAGAAAGGTAGGCGCCCCAAAACAAACCCCTATTCTGGAAAAACTATTGCGACCGAAGGCCGAACAAGTGGACAGAACTCCCCAAACAAAAATTAGCAAACTAGTATGACGTCATCATGTCGCCGCCCCATTGTCTGCGCAACACCCCCCCTCCATCGGAGGGGGGAAGGGGAGCCCCAGACCCACCTGCCGGCAACCCAACCTTCAGTTCTTAGGCTGGATGTCAAAATACGCGAAAAACCCCGCCGACCGGGGAGGGAGGAAGGGATGCCTGGGAGACTCCGGGATTCACCCAGAAAATGGCGTTTCACTACATTCAACGCTGTTTTTCTGGGGAAAAGCCCCACTGGCTCGCCGGAGCTACTTCACCACATAAGGAAAAGAGAGAAGGAACTGGAAGACGGACGCCACACGCCCTAATAAAAACTAGACCATAGATGAAACGAAAGGACCCTTCAGACGACCCGAACCCCCGAACAGGAAGGAGGAAAGGAAAGGAACACTGGCAAACCAAAATGCGTCCATGCATTTTGGTGCCGCAGACATACAGAGAACAGCGAAGAGCCACAACCGAACAACAAAGGAAGCACCCCCGGCCTGACCAACCAAGCAGCAACCCAAGGACCCCTCCGGAAAGCAGCAGACCCAAACATCATCCGAAAAGAAGAAGACTGCATTAAACCAACAACCTACCACGAGGCCCAAACGAGGCAGAAAAAACATGGACGCCGGAGGAGAGCCAGAAACTCCCCAACCCGACTCCTAGAGGTGAACACCAACAGAAGGAGACCTGAAAAAAAATGCACCAGAACTGAAGGGATCACGACAAACCGAGGAAAAGAAAATAGACCACCCGGGCCAACAACCATGATTGCACGAAAAGCGCAAAAGCAGGCCGGAGGTGAAACAACGCACAAGGCAGTAAGCGGAATGGGGCAGAAGGAACGGCAACACCCAACACAAGCTGCAGCGGCACCGCCAGCGCCACCCAAGATGGAGCGACAGTACACGGCACCAGAAGACGGTGCTGGAACAACCCCGAAGAGAAAGACAAGACAACCCTATCAGAGTCCGAAGAACCCTTTGCAGTGATAGGAAAACCGGAAGGAACGCCAGGAAAACGATACACTGCCACCGAGACGAAGCACACAGGTGGGAGACCAACCACGAAGTCACCAGCGCCCACACAAGAACAAGAAGTCGAGACAAAAACCCGAAACGCGAAGACTCAAGGGGAAGAACGAACCAACCCTGTACCGATCCGCAAAAAGAAGCGGAGCCGCGGGAAGCCCCTCAGGATCGGAAACCGAGGAAGGCAGCGCCCCCAACCAAGGCTGGCAAAAACCAGAAAGAACGGCTGCCAGGGAACCAGGAACCCAATCCCGGCGAGCTGAAAAGAAACCAACCTGGGCGAGAAGAAATGCCCCGTTCGGAAGGAAAGCCCCCTCCCCTTAGGACCCCTGAAGGACCAACAAGGCCAAACACCGAAGAGCCAGGGCCCAGGCAGAAGTCAACGAGGAAAACGAGCACCACGAACTAAGGCGCATGAAGCGAAGCGAAAAACAGCGAACCCGCAACCCAAAGGAGCAGTGCAACCAGCTTCAGCAGGGACGAATGACGCATGCATCTCTGAGGCATACAGGAGGAGAACGACGCAGGACACAAACCGCAGGACAAAGAAAAGCTGGAGCCAGGACCAGAATCCTAGCTACCGTGTCCCAATAAAAGGAACTAGTAGGGCAGGAGCGGTTGATTGGAAGTTCACAACCTCCCTCAGGCATTACAATACAGAAACTTGCAGTGAGATACAAGGAAAAAGTGAAAGAACCTAGTACCAAAACAATGCCGGGGCAGTCCAAAATCAGGGAACTGAACATGGACAGAGGCCCACCCCAGCACCTAACAACAGTATAGCCAATAAGCACAGACACAGACAAAGTAGTCACTGTAAGACACACGCAAAGTGTCCAAGCAAAACATACAATACCTAACACCCCTGTCAGGTGCCAATGACACTACCCTCTCATTGGACCCAGATCTCAACCACCGCAAGCACAACTAGGCAAGTACAACTAGGCGAGTACCCCCCACCAAACAGCGAGAACCAGCACCTGGCCGACAGTCGCCAGACAGTAAAATCTCACCTGCAGAACACACACACACACTACCATGTCATGACAGCAGAGCCATGCAATGTAACAGGAGCATCCTTAATGGAGAATGTCCAGAGGTGCATGCCCAGTAGGAGAAGACGAGGTGAACGCAGTACAGAGGCGGAGGAGGAGCTACTCATCGCCGCCTCAGACTCGCAAGTTGAGAAAAGAACTAGAAGATCGGTCCACACAAAATCCAGAACACCCCGAGTATCCAGGGGGTTAGGACCGGAGATAATTGGAGAGAAAACGGCATAGAATCCGCGAGCAGAATGCGGAACACCAACACATGTGTACACAGCCCAGAAACAAAACAATCATCCCGGCCCAAGTGCCCGAGGTACGAACACACCACCCGCCTATCAGGCGGCACGGTTCGTACACCAGTCGTACATATGTAGCACACTACACCATATGCAACACACCAGTCGCATGCACACACATCGTACATACACCAGCAAGACGTATGTAACGAATATGAGGAATGTCGAAACAGGAAGGAGAGACGATGTGAAGACAAAAGAAAGAGTAGAGGGAAACTTCACCGGAAGTCAACAGACATTCCAATAACATTAGAAGTGCAGTACAGTACCAAAGAGGTTCGTGAACCAACGAGAACCGTGACAAAGAAACACAAATGCACAGAGGCACACACGGGCCCACAGACACCCCAGACCAAGGGACGTGCAGGGATCCCGATACAAAGGGAACAGTATTGCGGCAGAAGCATGAAATAGGCGAGGAAAAGGGGATGAAAAGCACCCCTAGGAATGACGGAACCGACAAACCAGAAGGGACACGTATCCGAACCCAGGGAGGGTTAGACCCACGATCTATACGAACACAGAGGGGGAAGGAAAAACCCCACCCAGAGGAACTGCAAGCCCCGCTCTGAGAGTACAAAAATTGAAGCGGAGCAAAACGGGGCCTTGGCCCCCCCAAGCAACCCCTCCCCGACCCCGGAAACCTCCACAGCAGGACCCAGGGCTGAGTCGTTTCCCACAAAGCCCCAGCCCCACAAGTAAAAGCCAGAGCAGACGTACAAAACACTAAGGAAGGGAGCCAACTGGTCAGAACTATACAGCACAACTGGAGGAACAGGATCGAATGCCTCCGCTGCAACCCCAGGAGATACCCCCGAGACCGCCCGAGTCTCAACACCAACTAGACCCTGCCCCGGCTCTGAAACCCTCAGACGCTTTGGAGCCGGAAGCAAGGGAGAGGGAAGGGGGGGAACTGGAAGAACAACAGAGGGGGGAAGGACTGGTATAGCGGACAGAATTAGAGCCGAAGCGACTCCAACCCCCAAGTCCGGGTTCCTATAAGCAAAACGGGGCAATCTCAGGGCATCCAGGGCCGCAACCAGCCTAGCGCGTTGCAGCAACCTAAATCTAGCATACAACGCCATAGTTGCCTGCACCCGCATATCATTAACAGTGGCTTGGGTGAACTGGAGTACGTACAGACAACACACGTCACATGATTCCAGGTCAAAACAATCATCGACCCAACAGGCAGCATGGCGGAGGCAAAACCGATGAGCGTCACCTTAAGAGAAGGGGACAGAGCAACCATCAAACTCGCAGGACACGAGGGGGAACTAAGGGGTCACATCCATTGAACCACATAGCCCCTGTGGGCTATGTGGTCCGATGGATGTGACCCCATAGCCATAGCTTCCAACAAATTGAATGCATTAACAATTATTAAACTAAGCTTAAGAAGCTTCAGCACCTCCCAGGGCCCTTAGCCATGGTTACACACTAAGGGAAGCCCAGGCAGGGTACTGCGAACCGGTGCCTAGGTCTACCAAAGAAACTTCTAAAGCTGAACCCCCGGGACATGTTCACTCACGGGGACCAAGCGAAGAGGACCACCAAAAATGGGACAGTGCCTGTCAGGCGCTGTCCCTTTGCGCCTGACACAGATGGATCACCACGATCCAGGTAAGCCTTGTAAAAACACGATGCACCAGATTCAAGCTGAATGGAAAGCAACGAAAACGGTAAGTGCGCCGCACCACGACAAAACCGAGCCAGTCCCTGAACCCAGGATGAATAAGGACGTGACAATACACGTCCCAGAGGTCCAGGGACACCATCCAGGCATCCGGATCCAAAAGCAGCCAGACCTGGGACAGAGTGTTCATCCGAAAGAAGAGGCAAAAGACCCAGGGATTCAGACAGGACAAGTCTAGAATGAATCCTAGATCGGCACAGTCCCGTTTCGGAACTGGAAACGGGCAGAAAACCCACCCGAGAGATGCAGTCGTTTCGACCACACCCAAGTGAACCCACTCCAGGACGCCCAGACAGTGCAGGGGAAAAGGCCTGCCCCAAACCCTCTGAAGGAGGAGGAGCCACCTAACGCCACTGCTGACTGGAGAAAACGACCCGAAACACCCACGAATCGTGGGACCAGGTGAGAGCAAACAGCATGAGCCTCCCCCCATCGCCCCATCAATGCAGATGGGAAACCAACTGAATGGGGCAAATTGTGGAAGGGCCAACAACCCTTACAAGAGCCCGACCAATGCTTGGAGCGATCACTATGCCGACCAGATGCTGACAGCTTTGCAGGTGGGGCCTGCCCCAAATCTGGCACTACTGCCTTATGACGACCGAAGGAACCATGAGCCCTGGCATGACCCTAGACAACTAACGCCCCCAAGTCCGGGTACAAATAACCAAAGCGGGGAAGCCTCGGGGCATCCAGAAAGGCAGCCAACTTAGCGCGTTGCAGCAACCTAAACCTACCATGCAATGCTGAAGCTGCCGGCACCGAATATCAATAGCAGTGGACTGGGTGAACTGGAGTACAAACAAGGAACTCCACTCGCAGGACTCCCAGGTTAAAGGTGTCACTGACCCAACAGGCAGCATGGCAGAAGCCAAAATGGTGAGTGTCATCCTGAGACAAGAGGACAGAACAACCTTCAAACTCACACAAAGCGAGATGGGACTCAGAGGACTCATCCACTGGACCAATTAACCCCATTTGCGGTTTCCAGGGCCTTTAGGCTGACTGCTAAGGTGAGTCCAGGCAAGGTACTGCTAACTGGTTATCCCAAAACTAACAAACGAACAAATAAAAATGCTGAACCCCTGCAACGTGTGCAATCACGGGGACTTAGCGGAGGGCCACCCAAATAATACAAGTGGTCCTAAAGCTATACCAGGCAGACCCCCACCAGGCAAAACAAAACAAAATAAACACTCTGCAAAAGCACAACATCTCCAAGACAAAAGGAACTGGCCACAATGAGTATTAGAAAACAGAAGCACAGTACCTTATGCCCCTGCCAGCGATGATACTACCTCCTGCCCAAGGCCAGACAGTGGTAGGAAAAAACCCAGTTGACCCAAAGGGCAGGCAATCACCAAGCAGCAAAAGAACCCTGCAGAGGCAGTTCCCGAACAATTTGTGGAAGGTAATCCCAAACTGCAAGGGCAGTACTTACAGGGCACCAAGGAAGGAGCATGCAGCCCCAGTACTTCTAGAATTACACCTGGCTTGCACACCACCACAAGGCACAGCACTGCTCAAGGATTCAAGCCAGAGTCAATCGATCGCCACCCAACACAACAGCTTCAGAACTGGGGTTGGGTAGCTGGCATGGGAGGTCTGGGGCCCCCTTCCCCCTTCCAGGGAGGAGGGAGAAGGAAGCGGCGCAGACAGTGATGCAGCGGCTGTGGTGATGTCATGCTTGTTTACACGTTTCCTGATTGCAGAGTCCTGCTTACTTGTTTGGCTTTCAGTTTGCAATTTTTAACCAGCTGTAGTTTGTTTTGAGATTCCTACCTTTCTGGGTGCCTGATCTGGTAGATGGCAGACAGACTGCTTCCAACTACATGGGGGATGTCTATACACCATTGCTCCTCGTGACTCATTTCAGGGGGCCAGGTTCTGGCTCTGGTCTCCGATAGGCCTAAAACTCCATCGACTGACTGTTGCCATGGTCTAATATATATACACATATCAGCGTGGTATAGCTCCATGGAACCGAAGGGGCTCTCTACAGAAATACTAAATTCTTTTAACCAGTGGAGTTAATTTTACTCCTCTGCTATCTGTCAAAATTATGTTTTCATATATCTTCCATATTCTAAAATCTATTTCATATGAAAACTGAATCCATGATTGACATAGCCTTAAAAATAATAAAAACAAAGCAAAGCAGAAAGAAAACAAAAATAAGCAGAGTGAAAAAAAGGGATAGAGGATTCTTCCAGGAAACAAATTGGAAGCATTAACAGTTATTAAACTAAGCTCAAGATGTTTCAGTACCTTGCAGGCCCCCACTGAGCACGTCTGGTGGCTGGGGACATGGATGCATACCCATCACTTCCAGGCTGCTGGCCCCACATGCGTCGCACTGGGCTGCCCTGCTATATAAATTCATTATATTCATAAAACATAAGATGTATAGCAATATTATTATAGTAATAAAATGATCACGCTTTCTCATTCTTCTCTTGCCAAAAAAGTTAAACTCAGTAGTTGGCACTATCACCTAATCTAAGAATGACTTCCACAACTACTTCTAGTACAATTCATATGTTGACCACACACGCTGCACTTTGGGATTTTCTCATCTGACTCGTTTACACGTCTAACTTCCATCCATATCATCTCATTCTTTCATCCTTCATCTGGTAAAGTGTGTTCCAACCAAACTTGTTTTACTTCCTCAGTATACATAATGCAGCCTGTCCTACTAAGGTTTAACAATGTCAAGAAATAGTCGTACTAAAGTGCCCTTATCCTAACTACCAGAGAACCCAAAACAGAAAATGGAACTCAATTTGGCGAGCTGCTCCGATTTTCTAGTACGACGATTTTTGGCCTTGGGTAAAGTATGCATCAAAATGTTAATTTCTACTATTAGGACGGGTTGCATAATGATCATGTTTACTCTGATATTACTCTTCTCTAAATTAGTTTGGTTGAGCTCCCTTAAACTATTTTCTTTGAGATTCACCAAAATGATAAAATCATGCCAGTGCAGCATAATCTCAAATAGGCACGAGGAGCAATGGCCTAAAGACACCCCTGCATAATTGGAAGCAGTCTTTGTCTGCCATCTACCAGGTCAGGCACCCAGAAAGGTAGGAATTCCAAAACAAATTACTGCTGATCAAATAAATTGCAAACCGAAAGCCGAACTTGCAACAGAACTCCCCAATCAAAACCAAGGAAACAAGTATCACGTCACCACAAATGTCGCACATCCCTCGGGTAAAAGTGACCATGTCTTTTTGGGAATAAAGTATGCAATGCGTTATAAGCTGGAAGAAAATAAGGAGGTTGAAGCAGCTGAAAAACCAGATTTCAGGAGAGGACATTATGGTGACCTTAGAAATTTTTTTAGTGAGTATAATTGGACAGACTTGATGCTAGGCAAGGAAGTGAATGAGATGTATGTCAAGTTTTGTGAAATATATGATAAAGGCACAACAAAATTTATACCAAAACAGAGATGCAGAACTAGGAAACAGGATTGGTTCAATAGAAATTGCGAGAGGGCTAGAGACCAAAAGACACAAAAATGGAATCAATACAGGAAGAGGCCGAACCCCCAAACATACCAGCGATACAAAGATGCGAGAAACAACTACACGGCAGTGAGGAGAGAGGCAGAAAGGAATTTTGAAAAAGGGATTGCAGACAAATGTAAAACAGAACCAGGTCTATTCTATAAATTCATAAACAACAAATTGCAGGTAAAGGATAATATTCAGAAGTTGAAAATGGGAAATAGATTCACGGAAGATGAGAAGGAAATGTGTGAAACACTAAACGAAAAGTCCCAAAGTGTGTTTGTACAAAATGAAATCTTTAGGGAACTAGATACAGTAAGAATTCCAGAGAACAACATAGAGCACATAGAGGTGTCTAGAGACGAAGTGGAAAAAATATTCAAGGAGCTCGGTAAGAACAAAGCAGCTGGCCCAGATGGCATTTCACCATGGGTTCTGAGAGAATGTGCATCTGAGCTCAGCATTCCACTTCACCTGATCTTTCAGGCATCCCTGTGTACAGGAATCGTAGCAGACGTGTGGAAACAGGCTAACATAGTTCCAATCTACAAAAGTGGCAGCAGGGAAGACCCCCTCAATTATAGACCTGTATCATTGACAAGTGTAATAGTGAAAGTATTGGAAAAACTAATCAAAACTAAATGGGTAGAACACCTAGAGAGAAATGATATAATATCAGACAGACAGTATGGTTTTCGATCTGGAAGATCCTGTATATCGAATTTACTCAGTTTCTATGATCGAGCCACAGAGATATTACAGGAAAGAGATGGTTGGGTTGACTGCATCTATCTGGACCTAAACAAGGCTTTCGACAGAGTTCCATATAAGAGGTTGTTCTGGAAACTGGAAAATATTGGAGGGGTGACAGGTAAGCTTCTATCATGGATGAAAAATTTTCTGGCTGATAGAAAAATGAGGGCAGTAATCAGAGGCAATGTATCAGAATGGAGAAATGTCACAAGTGGAGTACCACAGGGCTCAGCTCTTGCACCAGTGATGTTTATTGTCTACATAAATGATCTACCAGTTGGTATACAGAATTATATGAACATGTTTGCTGATGATGCTAAGATAATAGGAAGGATAAGAAATTTAGATGATTGTCATGCCCTTCAAGAAGACCTGGACAAAATAAGTAGATGGAGCACCACTTGGCAAATGGAATTTAATGTTAATAAATGTCATGTTATGGAATGTGGAATAGGAGAACATAGACCCCACACAACCTATATATTATGTGAGAAATCTTTAAAGAATTCTGATAAAGAAAGAGATCTAGGGGTGGTTCTAGATAGAAAACTATCACCTGAGGACCACATAAAGAATATTGTGCAAGGAGCCTATGCTATGCTTTCTAACTTCAGAATTGCATTTAAATACATGGATGGCGATATACTAAAGAAATTGTTCATGACTTTTGTTAGACCAAAGCTAGAATATGCAGCTGTTGTGTGGTGCCCATATCTTAAGAAGCACATCAACAAACTGGAAAAGGTGCAAAGACATGCTACTAAGTGGCTCCCAGAACTGAAGGGTAAGAGCTACGAGGAGAGGTTAGAAGCATTAAACATGCCAAAACTAGAAGACAGAAGAAAAAGAGGTGATATGATCACTACATACAAAATAGTAACAGGAATTGATAAAATCGACAGGGAAGATTTCCTGAGACCTGGCACTTCAAGAACAAGAGGTCATAGATTTAAACTAGCTAAACACAGATGCCGAAGAAATATGAGAAAATTCACCTTCGCAAATAGAGTGGTAGACGGTTGGAACAAGTTAAGTGAGAAGGTGGTGGAGGCCAAGACCGTCAGTAGTTTCAAAGCGTTATATGACAAAGAGTGCTGGGAAGACGGGACACCACGAGCGTAGCTCTCATCCTGTAACTACTCTTAGGTAATTACACTTAGGTAATTACAGCGATGCCGTGCAACAGACTGGAGCGTCGCTAGTAGAACATGTCCAGAGACGCTTGTGCAGTTCACCACATATAAAACCCAGAACTCCCCCAATATCCAGGGGGCGATGACTGGAGAGAGAGAAGGAGCGAGAGCAGTGTACCGCCCAGAAGTGCGTGGAGCACTGACACATGCTTACACCGTCCAGAACAAAACAATCACCCCCTGCGCTTGCGCAGGACACACGAGGTCCGGCCTGCACCACACGACTCCCGGGGAGGGTGCCAACAATGAATATGTAACTATGAATAGGAATGTCGAAACCAAGAACGGAAAGAGGCGACAATGAAAAATTGGAAATAGCCTCGAAAAACAAGAAGGATGGAAGAGTGCCAACGAGTCCTAGAAAGGACTGGAGGTAAGCCCCACTGGAAGGCGACAGACGTTCCAATAATGCAGACGCATCGCATGGTGGGTGCCGGCCCGTGGGCATGGTGGGTGCCGGCACGTGGGCATGGTGGGTGCCGGTACGTGGGCATGGTGGGTGCCGGCATGTGGGTATGAAGGGGGCCAGCATTTGGGGATGCCAGCAAGTAGGAGTATCTTGAGTATGCAAGGAGAAGGATCTAAGCGAGAGTGTATATATCATTATGTTAAATAATACTTATGATATATTGGAAGTAAGAACAATTGTTACCAGCTGTCATTTGGAAACAATTACCAGAATAAATCACTACCCTGTGTCTCACTTTCATGGAGCAATTAGCAACTCTCATGAGAAAAAGATATTGTCAAACCTCCTTCCATTATTGCATGCATCACATGAACCCAGCGGTGTGCTGTCTCATGCCGCCAAAATATCAGCAGCAGCATTTCAGTCGTTTCATGAGTACTATGTAAAGTACTCTATTCAGTACATTACAAAATAATTTACTGGTTCAATCAGGTTATATTTAGTAAATACCCATGTTCTCAGGCTCCTTTTCTTGCCCCAACTCTCAAAGTTACTAATTATGCTTTCCTCAATATTCACCATACATTTGCATTACAGTATAACCCTAGCAGATGGAGACCAAAACCACCAGTAGTTTCAAAGTGTTATATGACAGAGTACTGGGAAGACTGACCCCCACGAGAATAGCTCTCATCCTGTAACTACACTTGGGTAATTACACACTGCTCAATCTTATGAGTTACAGCTTTTCCACTCGTTATTTTTTCATAATTATCATTCCTTAGTTGATATATCCTCCAAATACATAAGCACCTCACATCAAAGTTTATACTGCTCTAAAAATACTTCAGAGAGCACGTTTCACACACGCATGCTATACTTCAGACCTGGAACAATCACTCCTGTGCAATACTAAACCTCATCCCCTCTCGTCTCTATCCCCCTAACCAGTTTTTATTGTCAACAATTTTCTTTCCCTAACATGCACTTAAAAGCATTCCTCAAAGAAAATACCCCCAGTATATTAAATTTGTTTAGACCCATAAAGATCCTAAACACCTTATGGATCTAATGGAATGCCTTCGCCACACCCTCACTGCAAATACCTCCCTCAACCCGTTTCACAAAATAAAATAATTTCTCAGATATGTTTAATTAAGACATTTAATAATCACACTTTGGCACACTTTACTCCCTGTGCTCACTTATATTTAGATACCGCCCACTTGCTGCGCACTTTCAACTGTCACTGTGCTAGGTCTTCTGGCAAATGTTCCCTATACATTTCTTACTACTGCTTGTCAACATTTTAACTTTTGCACTGTTGCATTTTTCTCTCATTGACATCTTATCATATACTTTACCATCATCCTCACACCAGCAAAGTCAATCTCATTCACAACAGCACTGCTTTCCTTAATTTCACAGATTAGACTAGGTCCTCTCCATCTATAACTAATTTCTATGTCAGTTAAATTTCTCCGATGTTTATCTTGCCCCTCTTGTCAAAAGTACTGATGTACATCTTTGTTTACAAAACAGTTAACCATTATATATTTCGTTCTCCACCTTTTAAACTCATACTTATTGTTTTGTAATCCATGAACTTAAATCTACTTTTTACAATCAATCATATATCCTTCATTCTCTTTTCTTCTTACTTTAAATCCATAAGATACACTTCTTTCATTTGTCATTAACTGTTCTTCCCAATTCCTCATCCCACCAATCACTCGCAATCCTCTACCAATTTCTAAACCACTCCCAGATCTACTTAACATTCATTACCATACATTCCTTTAATTCACTGCATAGCACTACATAATTTTTTACGGTCTTTGGGTAGTAGTATTTTCTACTTGCTTATACCACCAAAGTATAGAAACTGGCTATTATTCCCCTCAAACTTTCCTTTGACCTTTGCCTATGTCATCTTAATGAAGAATTCTGTAAGTTAACTTGAAAGCTGCCAGCTCCTTAACTAGAGCTGTGACAATTTACCACAGCTCTAGAGGAATTGGACATCTTCCTTAAGCTGTCTAATGCAAAGGTCAAAGCAAAGTCTGGAGAGAATAATAGCCCTTTTCCATACTTTGGTGGTACTGCCAGTACTGTATAAGCAAATAGAAAATAACACTTACTACCCGAGAGACAAAAATTGTATTACATAGTGCAATGTATTCAAAATCATTTACTAAATTTTATGTATCAAGTTGTCACTGCTCTCATCTTACATTCCAATAATTGTATACATTAGACTAATCATGAAGTAAAAGTTAACACTGCTAAATAAGCTAACCTGGTCATGAAGATAAAATTGACCATGTGGTGGTGCTTGATGAATAGCTTGGTTGCTTGGTGGATTCATTCCATTGTGCATAAGGCTTTGAATCTGCTGTTGCTGGTGAGACAAACGCTGGATATCACTCTGGATCTCAGTAAGCGAGTCAGTCATCCTGTAAGGTTGTGTAAAAGAGTCTGGGCCCATGGAGATGCGGCGTGGGGGTGTCGAAGGTAGTGTTCCAGGATCGTTAGCAGAACGCCAGGTGCCAGGCTCCAAGTATAGGCTCATTCTGCGCAAGTCCATTCGTGGATCTCGGGAGGCTCGCTCTCGTGGATCTCGGCCTACGTAGGATCTCCTCCGTAACTGTACTGCATAAGGGTGGTCCAAGGAAGAGCGACGAGAGCCCTCCAAACCACTCTCCCCACTGCAAGAACACACCACCACATGCACCACACACTACAGCAAACATGCCAGTCTCACTCAACAAACAACTGTGAGGAGCCTAGGACCATCAATGAAGTTTTAAGAATACTGTACTTAACTCTGCATTCATTTTGGTAGAGAAAAAGGATAATAGGAAAGTTTTAATGACAGCTATTTTCATTTAAAAATTATTAAAAAATTAATGCTGCTATTCTCTTTTTACGAGCATGCATGACTGACTTTCTGATACATGACGAGTTAAATAAAATAAAGTACAACAAAAAATTAAAGTAAAAGAAAGTGTGTGTGTGACATTGGCAAAGCTCAACAACTAAGAAGCATGCAAGAAAGCAAAAGGCTACCAAAAGCACAAGACCCTCTAAAAAAAAAAAGGCACATGTAACCTACATTAATAAAGAGAGGGGAAATTAGGAAAATAGCTTCACTGACAATAGACAAAGATGCAGACAACCATTTACCAAAAACAATCCACTAATATTTTTGGAGGAGGTGCTGTTCTGTAAACCTAGTAACTATGGATGACAACTTCCAAACACACAGCTTTTCTCTCTTGCATGAACCATTATAATTAATCAACTCATGAACCAATGAAGTCATTTACATAGATTTGCTAGACAAACTTCATTTTACAATTGAGTGAAAAACCAATGTGGAGGAATTTAGGAAAGATGTGTATCAGAACAGAATATACAAGAATACATCCAGAAGTAGACAAGGTGATGGAAGGTGTGCCAGGACTGCTCAGTTCACAACAGAAATAACTGACAGCATCAACACTTGGTTAATTAAAAGTAGAGATAGCATTAATAACAGAAGTGAAAATAAATGGTTAACAAATTGAAGAATGAGAAAATATACAATAACTGACAACACTACAAGTACCAAAGCATGTAATGGAAATAAAGAGATATATGAAAAGATAAGAATTTAGTGGCAAATATTTTCCTTGATAAAAATTCAGGTAGTGATGAGGCAGGTTGATAGTGCTGGTGGTAGGGCAGGAGGATAGTGGTGGTGATGGTTGTGACGGGGCAGGAGGCTAGTGGTGGTGACGGGGCAGGAGGCTAGTGGTGGTGACGGGGCAGGAGGCTAGTGGTGGTGACGGGGCAGGAGGCTAGTGGTGGTGACGGGGCAGGAGGCTAGTGGTGGTGACGGGGCAGGAGGCTAGTGGTGGTGACGGGGCAGGAGGCTAGTGGTGGTGACGGGGCTGGAGGCTAGTGGTGGTGACGGGGCAGGAGGCTAGTGGTGGTGTCGGGGCAGGAGGCTAGTGGTGGTGACGGGGCAGGAGGCTAGTGGTGGTGACGGGGCAGGAGGCTAATAGTGGTGGTGACGGGGCAGGAGGCTAATAGTGGTGGTGACGGGGCAGGAGGCTAATAGTGGTGGTGACGGGGCAGGAGGCTAATAGTGGTGGTGACGGGGCAGGAGGCTAGTGGTGGTGACGGGGCAGGAGGCTAGTGGTGGTGACGGGGCAGGAGGCTAGTGGTGGTGGCGGGGCAGGAGGCTAGTGGTGGTGGCGGGGCAGGAGGCTAGTGGTGGTGGCGGGGCAGGAGGCTAGTGGTGGTGGCGGGGCAGGAGGCTAGTGGTGGTGACGGGGCAGGAGGCTAGTGGTGGTGACGGGGCAGGAGGCTAGTGGTGGTGACGGGGCAGGAGGCTAGTGGTGGTGACGGGGCAGGAGGCTAGTGGTGGTGACGGGGCAGGAGGCTAGTGGTGGTGACGGGGCAGGAGGCTAGTGGTGGTGACGGGGCAGGAGGCTAGTGGTGGTGACGGGGCAGGAGGCTAGTGGTGGTGACGGGGCAGGAGGCTAGTGGTGGTGACGGGGCAGGAGGCTAGTGGTGGTGACGGGGCAGGAGGCTAGTGGTGGTGACGGGGCAGGAGGCTAGTGGTGGTGACGGGGCAGGAGGCTAGTGGTGGTGACGGGGCAGGAGGCTAGTGGTGGTGACGGGGCAGGAGGCTAGTGGTGGTGACGGGGCAGGAGGCTAGTGGTGGTGACGGGACGGGAGGCTAGTGGTGGTGACGGGGCAGGAGGCTAGTGGTGGTGACGGGGCAGGAGGCTAGTGGTGGTGACGGGGCAGGAGCTAGTGGTGGTGACGGGGCAGGAGGCTAGTGGTGGTGACGGGGCAGGAGCTAGTGGTGGTGACGGGGCAGGAGGCTAGTGGTGGTGACGGGGCAGGAGGCTAGTGGTGGTGACGGGGCAGGAGGCTAGTGGTGGTGAGGGGGCAGGAGGCTAGTGGTGGTGACAGGGCAGGAGGCTAGTGGTGATGGTGGGGCAGGAGGCTAGTGGTGATGGTGGGGCAGGAGGCTAGTGGTGGAGGTGGTGGAGGTGGTGGTGGGGCAGGAGGCTGGTGGTGGTGGTGAGACAGGAGACTAGTGAAGGTGGTGGTGGTGAGACAGAAGACTAGTGAAGGTGGTGGTGGTGGTGAGACAGGAGACTAGTGAAGGTGGTGGTGGTGGTGGTGGTGAGACAGAAGACTAGTGAAGGTGGTGGTGGTGGTGAGACAGAAGACTAGTGAAGGTGGTGGTGGTGGTGGTGAGACAGAAGACTAGTGAAGGTGTGGTGGTGGTGGTGGTGGTGGTGAGACAGAAGACTAGTGAAGGTGGTGGTGGTGGTGAGACAGGAGACTAGTGAAGGTGGTGGTGGTGGTGAGACAGAAGATTAGTGAAGGTGGTGGTGGTGGTGGTGGTGAGACAGAAGACTAGTGAAGGTGTGGTGGTGGTGGTGGTGGTGGTGGTGGTGAGACAGAAGACTAGTGAAGGTGGTGGTGGTGGTGAGACAGAAGACTAGTGAAGGTGGTGGTGGTGAGACAGAAGACTAGTGAAGGTGTGGTGGTGAGACAGAAGACTAGTGAAGGTGTGGTGGTGGTGGTGAGACAGAAGACTAGTGAAGGTGGTGGTGGTGGTGGTGAGACAGAAGACTAGTGAAGGTGGTGGTGGTGGTGGTGAGACAGAAGACTAGTGAAGGTGGTGGTGGTGGTGGTGAGACAGAAGACTAGTGAAGGTGGTGGTGGTGAGACAGAAGACTAGTGAAGGTGGTGGTGGTGGTGGTGAGACAGAAGACTAGTGAAGGTGTGGTGGTGGTGGTGGTGAGACAGAAGACTAGTGAAGGTGGTGGTGGTGAGACAGAAGACTAGTGAAGGTGGTGGTGGTGGTGGTGAGACAGAAGACTAGTGAAGGTGTGGTGGTGGTGGTGGTGAGACAGAAGACTAGTGAAGGTGGTGGTGGTGAGACAGAAGACTAGTGAAGGTGGTGGTGGTGGTGAGACAGAAGACTAGTGAAGGTGGTGGTGGTGGTGAGACAGAAGACTAGTGAAGGTGGTGGTGGTGGTGGTGAGACAGAAGACTAGTGAAGGTGGTGGTGGCGGTGAGACAGAAGGATAGTGGTGGAGATGAAGATGGTATGCCAGCTACAGCAGTGCATATATTTCTATGGACTTGTAAAATATATAACAGTGACGAAGAAAATAATTTAAATGTATTTAAATTAAGAAATATATCTGCTAGTAGTATTAGAGAGAAAAAAAAGACAACATCAGAGAAAAGTGAGATAAATACAACAGCAATTCTTAATGGCATTAATTCGGTATCAGCTTTACTGAATTTCTCAACTCCATGCCAATTTTTGGTCAGGGGCAGGTGAAGAAAATTATTTAAGTATGCTGCCTTTAAATACACTACTCTTAGTGTCTTGCATCCTTAGTTATATTCATATACAAAATAAACTTTTTCCCATTCCAGGAATATCCTACCATCTCTTCAGCAAGTACTATTACACTCTTGTATGTTCTTTTCAGTCCAGTATTCACCCCAAATATTCAAAGTGGTGCAATGCTGTTAGCTTACTATATTGCAAATCATTTTCTACCTAACAACTCATCCATTCCTAAAAAAAAATTGTTGGAATTGTACCAGAAAATAAATAAATTTACCTCATTTCATATCCATGTTCCTCTCCAACAAATTAAGACCAGAAAGAACAGCTAAAATACTTCACATCCATGGTTACACCTCTGCTTTGCAAAGGCCACTAATGATCTAAACTGTCTCAATTGCACAATTCCAACAATGTTAAGTTACCTCACCTTCACAATACATCATTACTTTGCACATCTATTATATTAAAGCCTAATCAATTTCCTTTATAACAAAAGCAATTCCCTAGTTATGCCATCAACATTCACAGGTGTCTTCTATTACTCATAATGTAAGTGCAACTTTCTGCGATGTTTTCTTTGTTAAATTTTGAATAACAATAAACAAGGTTCATCAGAAGGGAAATTGTTTTGTTATTCAGCTATTAGTTGGCTACAATACAATATCCAACAATACAACACATTACTTCCTCACAAAGACAACTGGGAACATACACAGAAGACTCACACAGCTTACACACAAAAAAGGAAAAGAGGGAGGGAGTAGTATTCACAGCAATGTCTTACACAACCCTTCCAATCAGCTTGAGAGAACTATCCAAAACCAATAAACTATGGTCAGTATTTGGCAATCAAGATAGGCAACACTATTTAGGCAATGACTAATAACTAACTTTATGGCTTAATGCTGCTCTGGTAAAAGCCTGCCACTGTGCCACAATATCATTCAGTCCCTTTATTTGCCCTTTAAATTAGCATACTGTAATTATAATTTGATGCCTATAACTAATACCAATATCCAAGATAAAGAACAGCATCTCCTTTTAATATTTCCTAAGAGTTATTATTTTTTCTGCAGGTAAACTGTTAGTAAGGAAGCATTTCAACAAAAATGACAGAGAATGTCCAAGTCTTCTCTTTAAGGAACTGGTCAACAGAAAAAAAAAACTTGGTTTACACAGACAATTTTTTTGCACAAGAAAAGATGCATGGAATGAACGTAAAAAAGAATAAAATTTTAAATTTGTATATTAATATGCCTTAGCAATTGTAATTAAAGAACAATGGTATAATTTAATGTTCTTGATAGTCAAGTTAACAAAGAAAACATGACT